CTATGCTTACTGAAATAGTTATGTTTGCTGTTTATTTGGGTGATCAATTTAACTGATATGTTTTTATAGGTCAAAAACCGTACAACTGTCAACTGTGTTTGATGCGTTTTACTCAGTCCGGTAATCTGCATCGTCATATGAAAACGCATCGTGCTGAACGAACAACTTAATTCATTTCTACAGTTTTGTTATAGAAATAAATTCTAACAAAAAAAATAAAAATAAAATGCATTTTTTTTAATCATTTTAGATTATTTTTTAGGAAATAATTTATTATTGGAATATTATTTCATCAATTTTCAATGCAAAATTAAACTTCAGATTTTTTTTTTGGTCAATCAATTTTGGTGTTAACTGTTTGTATCTGTCTGTAGTAATTGTTTTTGTAAAACCTTTTTTTTTTTGTTCTGCTTCAATTTTTTATATTATATTTATAAAGTTTAATAGATTTTTTACTGTTCAAACTAACTGTCAAAAATGGAACAACAAAAGAAAACCTGAAAAACAAAAATACCTTCCTAATCGTTATAATTTTAAGAGCAAAGAAAAATGCAATAAAGATTTTGATGATTCGATAGTTTACTGTTATATTCAATAACAGATTATTGTTCTGAAAAAAAAAATAGTTTTTTTTTCCCTTCCTAATTAAAGCACATCAAAAAGAAAATAATAAATGTCAACATTCATCAACTGACTATTTTTAGTAATTTTTTTGAACAAAACTTTTAGTTAGATCTGAAACGTAGCAAAAAAACAGCTCTGATACAGACGATGACCAAAAATGTTACAGAACAAATTGTTTTGGACCTTCAAAGCAGTAATAACGATAACAGCGTTGACTAACACCCAAAAACTGAAACCCTAAATAACCACGTATCAAACTTCAAAAATCTATTCTTTTTTACTAAATTATGCCCCCCTCCCTCGAAAAAAAAAAAAAAAGATCTTCCAAAAAATTTTTAATAGCTTATTTTTTTGCTTTATTTTTATACTCAATATTTAACAAATGCTCACTGATAATATCCATTGGTCACTTTCGGTACTTCTTCAACTTCAATATCGGTAATGTTTAATAAACAAGAAAATCAAAAAAAAAAAAGAAATTTTTTTACTCGAAATCTTCACTAAATATATTGTTTTCTGTATAGTTTTTGATCAGTTGCATTCTGAATCTTATAAATCGGTATCCACAATTCCAAAATGATAAGCTGTTTTTTGCACAGCTCTTCTGTTGCGGAAAAATTGTCAACGATTAACAGAGTACCATCAAAGACTATCAAAGAACAACAAAATAAGAAATTGTTAAAAAATTTGAAGTTTTACAAAACTGTATTAAAAATTTGCGCTTTTTTATTTTGCTAACCAAAATTACATCGTTAACAGTGATATCAGAAAAAAAAAAGTTTGCAAGAAATCTTTGAGCAAAACAATTGACAGAATCAGACTTTTAAGTTCAGACTCAAAATTGAAAGACATTAGCTCGAAATGTCGCGACGGCTCGCGAAAGGCACTGTAGAGTCGCTTAAGGTCATTGTAGCTCCCTTAAGAGAAGCTCCTGAAGAAGCTGCAAGTTGGTCACCTGAACAGACGGAAGCCGGGTATTAAAGAGATAGTACTCAAGACAAATTTAGTGTTTTCAAAATTCAGTCACAAATCAGTTTTTCTTCAGTTAAAGAGTCTGGCTATTGTTCTGGTTAGAACTGTCTCATTTAGTATTTCATCAAGCAAAATCAAGAGTTGTTTGACTCTTCGTTCAACTGTTATTCTCAACCACAGTTTATACTTAATATTCTATCTGCTATTACGTGCCCAGTAGACAGTTTTTACCTCTGTTCATTGGCTTTTGATAATATTTATTTGTAATCATTATTTACTGGTATATTACTGAGTGTCTGCCAAGTGTTGTCAAGAATTTCCTGTTTGTTAAGTATGAAGGTAAAGAAAAAATAAAAGAATTGAGTATAAGACAAGGCCTCAACATAAGAAGGTCTTTTCTGAGAAGTTACGTAAGACGTTGAATTTCGGGAGATTGGAGATAGATAAGTTAAAGATCTCAAGTGATAGTTACAGTCCATCAAGCTACAGTTCTTTTTGGTTGGTAGCTATGATTTGTAAGTAGCTAATTACGGTCACAGTTAATCAAGCATATTACAAGAAGGACCCACGTAGGGTGTATACGAAGGACTACTTTTTTGGTAATGCCTCAACTTAGAAAAGTGTCTGTTTAGCCAAGACACGGAACTACAGGAAAAGACTCCCTATTAATGAATTTTTTTTTGTTTATTACTTACCCTTCAAGATTTTTGTGGATTTGTAGCTTTGTCATTTTTTTATTAATAAAGAAATTATTTACTTTCCTCGTTTGTTTTCTTTTTCATTGTTTTTGATATGGAACCGCATCTGCTGTCGTTGTTGTTGGCCACTTGTAGTTGGATAATGGTTAGTTCTCGAACTTTTCTTTCTTTAAAGCATGATACAGTGCAACAGAGTATACCATCAATTAGGAATGTTTCCCATGGTTTTTATTAACATTTATACAGATTGTTGAGTGAGAATGATATCAAAAAAACAATTTTTTAAACAATGACAT